GGAGAGGAGAGGAGAGGAGAGGAGAGGAGAGGAGAGGAGAGGAGAGGAGAAAGAGACAGAGAAGGGGGGAAGCAGAGAAGTGGGGAGAGAGGCAGAAGCGAAGCTGCCTCTCCGAGAGGAAGATGGAAAAAGAGAGCTAGCTCAGGCCGGAAGCTGAAGATCAGCCTGCCTCAGCGGATGGGGGAGGGAGTGGGCGTGGCTTGTCTCTTAAAGGGACCAAAACCACAACACTCTGAATCTGCAACTAGGCTGGCCTTCAACTTGTGTGATCTTCCTCTGAGTTTAGGCTGGTCCCCATTTACTTCTTTCCCCCTCTCCCTCCTCCCTTTCTCCCTCCCTCCTTCCCTCCCTAGCTCAGATTATGTCCTAGGATTCCTAACTGCCTTCCCTAACTTCATTCAGCAAAATGGTAAAATGGTCCCAAACTGGTGTAGTTTTTGGTTTTGTTTCCATTAGGAAAGTATTCCCAGTTCTTCTCCAGGTTTCTTTGGACATGCACCACTGTTTTTCTGTTTGGTTTCTGGAAAGGGTCTTATATTGTAGCTTGGGCTATCCTAGAACTCTCATGTGTAGCCCAGGTTGACCGAAATCCTCTGTTTAAATCTCCCAGTACTGGGATTTTAAATTGTGTCCTTCTAATATGACAAAGGATGTACCCCTGTTTTTATTTCATTCCTCTTCTTTCTATCCCCTTTAGTTTAGTTTTTTTGTTTTTTTTTTTTTATTTGGAGGCTAGACTAGACTCATTAGATATTAAGCTGGGGATGACCTTGAACTTCCAATTTTCCTGCCTCCAACTCCCAAGTGCTAAGATTATAGATGTGTGCCACCATGCCCAACTTAAAACCTCGGGTCTTATTAAACTGAGTACTTCTGAGTCTCATTTCCAACTTCTGTAGAGTAAGGATTATCTGCTGGTACACAAGTCACATAAGCAGATTAACTGGCATGTTAATTTTTTAGTTGAACATTTGAACCATTTATAACAGGATACTGGTGGCTCATGCCTTTAATCCCAGCACTCAGGAGGCAGAGGCAGATAGATCTCTGTGGTTTGAGGCCAGTCTGGTCTACAGAGTGAGTTTCAGGACAACCATGGCTACACAGTGAAACCCTGTCTCAAAAACAAACAAATAAACAAATACCTTTGAACCATTTGTAATGAATACTCTTAAAAGAATATACTTTGAAGGCAGTACATGGTGGCTCTTATTCCTAGCACTTAGGAGGCAGAATCTATGAGCCAGCCTCATCTATATAGTGCATTCCAGAACAACCAAGACTACACAGTTAGACCCTTTCTCAAAAACAGACAAACAAAACAAGAATTACATTCAGTCAGGCCTAGTGATGTGTTCCTGTAACCCCAGGTAGATTATAGGAGTTAGAGATGTTAGTGAGAAAACTGAGGTTCCCTCTTCAGATTCTTCATCTCATTCATAAAAGGATTTAGATGTGGGGAGAAAGAAAAAAGACCCTTTTGAGTTAGGGTCCAGCATGTTCAGCAAGTAGTCACATGGCAGGAGCAGAGACTGAGAAAACCAGAGTATCAATCAATGAGGGTATGCCCAGAGTTATGGAAGGAGGGAGGGAGGGAGGGAGGGAGGGAGGGAGGGAGGAAGGAAGGAAGGAAGGAAGGAAGGAAGGGAGGAAGGAGAAAAGTTAACATTTTTCTGGGTAATCAGAAAAGTTGAGAAACCTGGGTGGGGTTTCTGAGAAGGAAAAGTATGTTTCTCATTAAGGAGATAGTTACTCCTCCCATCTTTTTAATCAAGGTTTAAGAAAGTCAGCCTGGCCTGGCAGTGGGGGCACACGCCTTTAATCCCAGCACTCTGGAGGCAGAGGCAAGCGGATCTCTGTGCGTTCGAGGCCAGCCTGGTCTACAAGAGCTAGTTCCAGGACAGGAACCAAAAAGCTACGGAGAAACCCTGTCTCGAAAATAAAAAAAAGAAAGAAAGAAAGAAAGAAAGAAAGAAAGAAAGAAAGAAAGAAAGAAAGAAAGAAAAAGAAAAGAAAGTCAGCCTGTCTGAGGTGATTGATAGGCCCAGCTGGATTGACTGTTTTGGGTGTCTGTGCAGAGCCATAGGCAGACCTTGGATTCTGGTCTTTTCACCTGGGAGCAGCTGAGTGGCCTTTACAAGCCCAGGTACTCCCACCTGAGACAGGGTCTCACTGTATGACTCTGGCTGGTCTGGAACCTGCTGTGTAGACCAGGCTGGCCTTGAACTCGCAGAACTGTTTGTCTCTGCCTCCTGAACGCTAGCATTAAAATCATGGAGTACCAAGCCTAGCTATTTTATTTTCAGTCGTGTGTCAGTGTCTGTAAAGGATGTGTGCCCACATGAGTGCAGGTGTCCTGGGAGGCCAGAAGACTTGGGTGCTGGGAATAGAATCAGGTCCTCTGGACGAGCAGTGTGAACTCAAGTGCTAAGCAGTATCTCCTGATGCATCCTCTGTCTGTTTTGAGTAGGTTCTGCCGATCCTGTATTGCGACCAGTATTAAAAATCATAAATGGACATGTCCATACTGCCGAGCATACCTTCCTTCGGAGGGAGTGCCAGCAACTGACATAGCCAAGAGAATGAAGTCAGAATACCAGAACTGTGCTGAGTGCGGGACCCTGGTGAGTAACACAACCCTCGTTCATGATTACAAGAAAAGTTTTCCAGGGGCGTTTTCATTCCACCTGCTCCATCTCTCTAGCTCCCCCACTTTGGGAACAGGATCTCATACTGTAACCCACGACGAACTTAAACGTGCCATCCTCCTGCCTCTGCTGTGGAAATGTCAGGATTACATGCATGCCCACCACCCAAGGCTTCCTGCATGCTAGGTGGCTGTTTACCCCAGCCCTCATTTTTACCTTTGATATAGAGACAGAGTCATTAAGTGACCTATGCCAGCTGTGAACTTACTCTGTAGCCCTATAGTAGCTTGCATTACAGGCTTGCCCCACCAGCCTTGTAAACACTAGTTAAGCAGGAGGGGGGTTTCAAGACAGGGTTTCTCAGTGTAATCTTGGCTGTCCTGGAACTAGCTCTGTAGACTAGGCTGGTCCCAAGCCCACAGAGATCTGCCTGCCTCTGCCTCCCAAGTGCTGAGACTAAAAGCATGCACCACCACCACCTGACAAACATTTTTTTTCAAAGTTGGAACTTTTACTTCGTTCATCTGTTTTCTTACCACCATCCAGAGCTGGAAAATAAAAAATGTTTAACCTGGATGGAATTTAAAGAAACATACGAAAAAATTCATGCCTTTAATCTCAGCACACCGAAGGCTGAAACAGGAGGATCTGCTGCATGTTCAAGGCAGTAGTTCTAGTCCAGCCAAGACACTGTAACAATGCACATGCCAGAACAACAAGGACAAATACCCAAAACAAAGGCAGTCCTTTCCAGGATGTGGTGGCGCACTCAGGAGGCAGAGGCCAGCCTGGGCTACAGAGCAAGTTCCAGGACAGCCAAGGCTACATAAAGAAGCCTGTCTGGAAAAAAAGAGAAAAGACGCAGGAGAGATGGCTCAGCGGTTAAGAGCACTGGCTGCTTGTCCAGAGGTCCTGAGTTCAATTCCAACACCCACATGGTGACTCACAACCACTTGTGATGAAATCTGGTGCCCTCTTTTGGCAAGTAGGTATGCAGGCAGAGCACTATATGTAATAAATAAATAATTTTTTTAAAAATCCAATCCTCAGCAGTTATTCTCACCCCTTGTCTGAGATCCTGGAAACCAACTGAACATCATCCTTCCTCTGTCCCTTAAGAAATTACTTCTGGCACTCGGGAGGCAGAGGCAGGCGGATCTCTGTGAGTTCGAGACCAGCCTGGTCTACAGAGCTAGTGCCAGCACAGGCTCCAAAGCCACAGAGAAACCCTGTCTCGAAAAAAAAAAAAAAAAAAAAAAAGAAATTACTTCTGACTGAGGGAGCAGGAAGATGCTAAATGGCCTTTCATTTTCCTAGCTCCTGAGAGTGATTGATTTGATTTGGTTCCCTGCACCCCTTTCTCAGGGCCCTTGTCTCCTGTTAGGCTCCCTTCCTGTTGCCATCTTTTCTGTTACCTGGAGAGCTGTATGGTCACACTCTCTGTGTCAGCCACTGCCAGGGCCCTTGAGGCAAGAACACAGGGGAGCTTGGCACCTCCTCTAACATAGCACCCAGCACCTACCCTCTAAGGCCTTGGTGCATTAAACAACTTTCATAAGATGGGCATGTTGGCACACACCTTTAAGCCCAGCTCTTCGAAATCAGAGGCAGGTGGATCTCCATGAGTTCGAGGCCAGCCTGGTCTGCAGAGCAAGTTCCAGGACAGCCACAGCAGTTACACAGAGAAACCCTGTCTCGAGAATCAAAAAAAAAATAAATAAATAAATAAAAATAAAAGGAAAAAATAAAGACATTTTTAAGTATAAGGCTCAAGGGGCTGGAGAGATGGCTCAGAGGTTAAGAGCATTGTCTGCTCTTCCAAAGGTCCTGAGTTCAATTCCCAGCAACCACATGGTGGCTCACAGCCATCTGTAATGGGGTCTGGTGCCCTCTTCTGGCCTGCAGGCATACACACAGACAGAATATTGTATACATAATAAATAAGTAAATATTTTTTTTTAAAAAAAAGTATAAGGCTCAATAATCTATTATTATGACCACCTGGCCAGAATTTATACATATCCTTTGGAGACAAGCATCCTGAGATCCAACACTAATTCTCTGTTTCTGGTTTTACACAAATTATTTGTCTGTTCTTATTAATCTATTTATTTTATGTGTGCGGGGGTTAGGGGACACACATAGACAACCTTACTTTGATTGTCTATCCTGGGTGGAACCCTCACCTGATTCTCATCTCTGGTAGCCGTCAGTCACGGGATTTTGGTTAATGTATGAGGAACTCTGTGCCCTCTCTTGCTTTCTAGACTGTTCTTCTGTCCAGGAGTGCTGCCTGTTTCTTTTACAGGTTTCAGCTTTGCATGCTTCACTGTGAGGCCCGCCCTCCTCTCCATGCAGCCTGGCCTTCGTATTTTTAGTTCCTCTCAAAACAACTTCTGAGATAGTCGTCTGCACATATTTTTCCTCTGTTTGGTTATCTGCAGTGTTAGAACACGCAAGAGGCTCGTTGTCTACCGTCTCTTGGATGGCATCTTACATAATGTTGTTTGTATCTCTGGATTATAAATTGTCAGGAGCCATTTCCCCCCTAAGAATCATTACAGGAATCACCCTAGGGAGTCTGCAGAGAACCTCACACCCATAATTGTGTTCTATTGAGAAAACCTGCCCCTCATCCAATTAACTGCTAATCTTAGCGGAACCCGCCTCACATTCCAGCTATCCAGGGAACCAGGTGTGGCTACTTGTGACTTCTGGCCTGCCCGTCCGAGTGTAGCCTGGCCTACGTGACCGGAACCACGCGGCGAGATCCCTTGCCCTGCCCCCCATTCCTTACCATATATAA